GACTTTTCAAAATAACCAACGGCATGAGTACAGCTTTTTTTATATGCCCACTTGTTAGTATTGGCCACCGTTATCTGTTGTAAAATGGAACTTATTACTGTGAAATAGCGATTTTCAAAAAAAAAAAACGGTGATCTTCACAAATTTGCTCGCGTTGAACCGCTAACGGAGAACAGCGAGAGATACGACGTACCTTCGTCACCATCGCACTACTACAGCGTACTCTATGCCAGTGAGGAGAATCAAGGATTTGGTTTCGCGACTACAAACTGAACGTTGTTATGTCGAAATCCTTGGCTGTCTGAGGCGGGACAAAGTTTTAGTGAAAATAAGATATAGGTGCAGAAGAGTTGTATCGACATTATCATGCAATTTAGTAATCGTGATACGAACCGAGTAATGTTTGCGAATTTAGTGTATTTGGACGTGTGAGAGAGATGTCCGGCTCCGCAGTGGTAGGTGTGATTGTGGAATCTCTTTCCGAGCAATGCGATCAACACCAGTCCGAAGCGACGACTACCCAAGATGGCTCCTACCGTATCCGAGGCTTGAAACCTGACTGCCAGTACAAGGTCTCGATCAAAGGTGCGCGTCAGTGAGGATTTTAGCTAATGTATTTGTCTAACAAATAGCTTGAAAACCGCGCATTTAAGCTTGATTTTGAGTTTCTTTAAGCTTCGGGATTTATTTTGTAAATATGCTTTATCTAGCGTGACTGCCGCAAATGCGATTGAAGCGTGTGTTTTTTGCAGACCACATTTGATCCCTTAATATTGTACAAGAAAATATGCTATGAGGTTTGGGTGTAGAATTTTTGAGACGGTTCTTTTTTAATATGCTATGAGGTTTGGGTGTAGAATTTTTGAGACGGTTCTTTTTTTTTACTACAAACCCAGCGATGAACTCGGGTAGTAAGTCAACAAAACTGCTATTTCAGCTGGAGCAGATGGTGCTGCAGCTCCACACTGTTTCCCTTCACAATTCGAAGTTCGTATGACTGCAGAAGACCTGAAAGGACTCGACATGGTAGCAGCCCCTTACGATATGAGCACAGACTTGGCTGTTGAGGTAAAGAGGTACCTCAGTAGTTTCTAGTTTGCAAATTTTATCTGTGTCAGATGGAATTTGGCACGATGAGCATACCTCCATCTTACCGAGTATCTGTTCAACGAGAAGGTGAAACAATCACCCAATCCGTTGTACATGCTCCAGTTACTGTGTTCTATCTGAACAACTTACCTCGTGACGGAAGAGAGTACTCAGTGAGAGTTGAGCCAGATCGACAACATCAAACATTTCCAGCAAAGACAGGTACTATCTATGTGTGAGAATTACTGATAGTAATTAACCTTTATTGACAGTGTTCTTCACGACGGATGCACCAGTACGGGTGGTACGCATACCAATCACATCATCGAAACGATCTGGAGAAGTAGAAATTAGCGCTGGATCGTTGTTAGCATTGCCGTTCTTTGGACTTCTGGCTTTAATTTTCTTCAATCAGGTAATAGAGAGTCGATTTTATTTTTCA